TATGGTATGTATGGTATGTATGGTATGTATGGTATGTATGGTATGTATGGTATGTATGGTATGTATGGTATGTATGGTATGTATGGTATGTATGGTATGTATGGTATGTATGGTATGTTATGGTATGTATGGTATGTTATGGTATGTTATGGTATGTATGGTATGTATGGTATGTATGGTATGTATGGTATGTATGGTATGTATGGTATGTATGGTATGTATGGTATGTATGGTATGTGGTATGTATGTGGTATGTGTGGTATGTGTGGTATGTGTGGTATGTGTTGTATGTGTGGTATGTGTGGTATGTGTGGTATGTGTGGTATGTGTGGTATGTGTGGTATGTGTGGTATGTGTGGTATGTATGGTATGTATGGTATGTATGGTATGTATGGTATGTATGGTATGTATGGTATGTATGGTATGTATGGTATGTATGGTATGTAGGGTATGTATGGTATGTATGGTATGTATGGTATGTATGGTATGTATGGTATGTATGGTATGTATGGTATGTATGGTATGTATGGTATGTATGGTAGGTATGGTAGGTATGGTAGGTATGGTAGGTATGGTAGGTATGGTAGGTATGGAACGTATGGTAGGTATGGAACGTATGGAAGGTATGGAACGTATGGAACGTATGGAAGTATGTAACGTATGTAACGTATGTAACGTATGTAACGTATGTAACGTATGTAACGTATGTAACGTATGTAACGTATGTAACGTATGTAACGTATGTAACGCATGTAACGTATGTAACGTATGTAACGTATGTAACGTATGTAACGTATGTAACGTATGTAACGTATGTAACGTATGTAACGTATGTAACGTATGTAACGCATGTAACGTATGTAACGTATGTAACGTATGTAACGTATGTAACGTATGTAATGTATGTAATGTATGTAATGTATGTAATGTATGTAATGTATGTAATGTATGTAATGTATGTAATGTATGTAATGTATGTAATGTATGTAATGTATGAAATGTATGTAATGTATGTAATGTATGTAATGTATGTAATGTATGTAATGTATGTAATGTATGTAATGTAAGTAATGTATGTAATGTATGTAATGTATGTAATGTATGTAATGTATGTAATGTATGTAATGTATGTAATGTATGTAATGTATGTAATGTATGTAATGTATGTAATGTATGTAATGTATGTAATGTATGTAATGTATGTAATGTTTTGTATGTTCTGTATGTTCTGTATGTATGTATGTAATGTATGTAATGTATGTAATGTATGTAATGTATGCAATGTATGTAATGTATGTAATGTATGTAATGTATTGTATTGTATTGGTATGATTGTATGAAATTGTATTTTATGTATGTATTGTATGTATTGTATGTATGTATGTATGTAAGTATGTAAGTATGTAAGTATGTAAGTATGTAAGTATGTATGTATGTATGTAGGTAGGTAGGTAGGTAGGTAGGTAGGTATGTATGTATGTATGTGTGCGTAAATAGCCGTCTTGGATCTTGGAGACAGGTCCCGCAGCAATTTCCAGCATTGATTGTGTGCGAAGCCATGGCACGCCACTTTCTGCTCAGCTGCCAGGTTTATAATGGACATGGTTGAAGAGGGCCTGGGCGCTGTTTGCAGTGCTATCCCTGACGCATGGATCTAAGGATGATGTTTGACACTGTGGTCTTGAATGGTCTTGATATCCTTAATGTATGGTGGCATATGGTGGTATGATCTGATGCGATGCTGCAAGGGCATAGCTCACAGGTCATGTTTGTGGATGTTTGTGATGCGTCGTGGCTGATTGCTACTTGATGTGACTTTCTGTTGCATTGCAAGGTGATGATTGCTCCCTTTGGTGCAGGCGTAGCCTTGAATCCCGGAGAGATTTGCGGTCAGGCTCGGGCCTGGTACTGGCTCGTCCTAGCAAAATCTAGATATTTCAGGACAAAGTCATTGGTGCGGTAAGTTGCTGTGATAAAATGATTCATCTTGACATTCATAGCAGAAACCTTTGCTATGCTGGTACTGCTGGTATGTCTGTTAGATGTGGAGAAGCGGCAGAAAAACTGCACACCGAGGTCGCTGAGCTTGTTGGTGCCATCAAGACGTTTGCGGGGCCGGCGAGTGAGTTCCATTTTGCTAAGAAGGAATATGACATTGAGAAGGCTCCGCTGGGGGGAACCAGTGGCTTTAGAGGCATTTAGATGCATTTAGAGGCAACCATTTTTTGTGTCTTTAGTGTCTCTGTGATGTTTTGAAACCCATGGTCACGAATCAAGCACTGGAGGAAGGGTATGCTGCTTGCAATCCGCTGCAAATTGGCTTCGCGCGGGCCTTCTGCGACATTCACTGCGTGCGTGATGCGGTGATTCGGGGCGACCGATCCATCATCCGCAACCTTGAGCTGGCCACGAAGAAAACCAACAGCAATTTGCAGAAGATGGTGAAATGGTCAGTGGATGCGGCGCGTACAGAGACGGGATGGCTGGCAGACAAATTGGACTACATGCAACTTGATATAACTTGATGCTTTTCTCTGCCTTGTTTCAAATTGCGTCCTGAACAATGAACCTGTGATCATGAATCATGACGATCATCACATATCATCACAATGTATGCTGTACTAAGGCATGCCATCAACTTCGCATTCCTCTCGGACATCAGAGACAAGTTGACCCCCGAGACCGGACTCCAAGAGGTGAAGAAAACCACCGAGCGCATGTTCGATGAGATGCAGGGCTATGCCGAAGCCGCGTCATTCGATGAGTTGTCTCGGCTCACTGCGAAAGATGCCCTGGAGAATTTCCTGCACGGCGCTGAGGCGTTTGAGAGGCCGGGGGGTGGCCCGTCGGGTGGTACCCCGGGTTGTGCTCACGGTGGTCAGACACGAGAGGTGTATGAGGATATTGATTCTTTAGAGCAGCGACGCAGCGACGCGCAGGTTGAATGCCACGGAGGCAGCCAACGCCACGTCGTTGCTTCCGGCCACGTCGTTGCTGAAGGACTTGGATGCTTTGCACCAGACCCTCCGGCGAGCGTCTCGAGGGCGCAGCCGCTCAGAGATACTAAGCCGACAAATGGAGCAACAGGTGGGTGAGGGAAAAACGGGAGACATGACATGTCACGCGTGGCACAGACATGCACAGACATGCACAGACATGCACAGACATGCACAGACATGCACGGACATGCACAGACATGCACAGACATGCACAGACATGCACAGACATGCACAGACATGTTGAGATGTTTTACATTGACAAGATGTCCATGACATCATCATGTCCGATCCGTCAATAGATGGGACCGCTGCTGACATCACTTGATTTGATCAGGTGACGCGCCTGCAGCAGATGGCGAGAAAGCAGTTAAATACCTTGGGTGTGTACAGGACGGCCAGGGGGGTTGAGAAGGAGTCTTGAGCATCCTAAGCCAACTTGCCTGCACAAATGGCGACTTCTAAGATTTGTTTGAGAATTGCTGAGAACTGCCCGGAGGATTGTAGGGTGGGTGTTTCAATGGTCGGACTGCCAAGTTCTGTAGAGAAACAGAATGAAAGTGATTCTCCAACGGGTTCAGCCATTGGAAAGGGCTTTGGCAAACTCCTGATATCTTTGATCAATTTGTATATCTTTGTCCTTTGATGTCCTTTGTACTTTCTGATCTCGGTGCTTTGTGTCCAGGCTGGAGAGCAACGCCAGTGCAACCCATCGACGTCACCTGGCAACCATGGTGGAAACCGCATCTCTTGACAGGACGCCCCGAACCCTGAGGCAAAACTGTGGAAAACAAGAATCCTACGTCCAGAGCCTTCAGAGACCAAAGCTTGACCACAATAGAGTAGTTTTTTGATGTTCACTTCCATATGTTTCATGTTCTATCATCTTGTACATCTTATTATCGAAGGAAGTTTAGAAGTCAAACTTCCGACAATATGGACAGATGAAAAGTAGAGCAGGGCAGAGGCAGAGAGAAGAGAAAGAGTAGAAGAGAAAGAGTCAGAAGAAAGAAGATACAGATGCGCGAAAAGGTAGGAAAGTCGCGATTCACTGTGTTTTTTCCAATGATTTGTGGCTCCGGAGGGTCGAAAAGTAGGCTCGCTAAAGCGGCGGGTGCGGAGCCAGCTGGCCAGATGAGAGATGAAAAATTGCACGCCGTTGTGGCGCGAAGCACATTTCCAAGCCAAAATGTCCAAAACACACCAGGTTCGGACCACTTTTGGAAGTTGAGATGTCGAAAAAGTGCACGCCGTTGTGGCGCGAAGCACATTTCCAAGTCAAAATGTACAAAGCACACCAGTGTCGGACCACTTTTGGAAGTTGCGATGTCGAAAAAGTGGACGCCGTTGTGGCGCGAAGCACACTTCCAAGTCAAAATGTGCAAAACACACCAATGTCGAACCACTTTTGGAAGTTGCGATGTCGAAAAGTGCACGCCGTTGTGGCGCGAAGGACATTTCCAAGTCAAAATGTACAAAACACACCAGTGTCGGACCACTTTTGGAAGTTGCGATGTCGAAAAAGTGCACGCCTTTGTGGCGCGAAGCACATTTCCAAGTCAAAATGCACAAAACACCACATGTTCGCGCCACTTTTGGCGGTTCGGATGTTGAAAAAGTGCACGTCGTTGTGGCGCGAAGCACATTTCGAAGTCAAAATGTGCAAAACACTAGGGGTTCGGACCACTTTTGGAAGTTCAGATGTCGCTTCGCTTCGCTTTGGGTCATTACACTACACTATACACTCCACTACACTACAGTACATTACACTACACTCCACAACACTACAACTACAACTACAGAACTACACAACTACACTCCACTACACTCCATCCACCACACACCGCTACACTAAATTACACTACACTACATTACACTACACTAGAAAGATCGATAGATAGATAGGATACATAGAAAATAGATAGGTAGGTAGGTAGATAGTCAGAGAAAGAGAGAGAAAGAGTGAGAGAGATCAAGCACCTTTCAGTCCATCAGTGGCTTCGCTCTGCCATCCCGGATTCACAACAACCAAGCTCCCCTATAGGTTTCCTATTTTTGAAACTTCCGCCACCGACTTGTGCGGTACTACTGGTATTATCATCTTCTATCTTCGAACCATTCATTTTCTTCTTTGAAGGCCGGATCCGGCGCCAGGATCTGGTGGCAGTTCCGGGTGAAACTTGATGCTTACCTGGACATTGCAGAGGCGGAGGTGAAGTCTTTCCAGAAATCCTTGGAAGAGCTGGCGAGCTACAATGAATGCAAGTCAGTGTTCTCGAGCCTCATGTCCACTTATACCAAGAGCAACTTGGATGCAGCGTACAAAATGCCGTACATGCCGTATGCCACTGAATCAATGCTATCCTTGACATTTCTTGACAACGCTCGGCGGGAAAGACGGAGGTGATTGAATGTAATTGACAGCTTCACCTTGTTTCACCTCGTTTCTCTTTTCCAATCTTCTCCCTTTGGGCCGTTTTACATCAGGTATGAGACTTATGTCTCGCAGCCATCGGCAGCTACGATCCACCTGGCGTGAGGCTAGGCATGGCAGGAACCACCTTGGGTCATAATGGGTGTCAAAAGCGGCAGGGCCCACCAAAGAAGTCCAAATAAGATCCGTTTATAATTTTTAAATCAAATCTGAAACTGATCAGCTTGCTGCATGCTTGGTGTGCTTGCCAGTCTACTTGGGGTGTGTATAGCCAGCACTCCGTTCCGTCGAAGAAAATGGCCAGCGCTTGAGATTTGTCGAATCAGTCCCCTCTGTAAGCATTGCAAGGCCTCTGGACTTTTGGGAGAGTTGGCGTCGGTGGTGGTGGACACTGATGCCTTCGGAAACTTCATCCGTGACCAAGGGGCAGTGGGCTGCAGCAAGACCGGCCGCATGGAGGAAACCATGAAGCAGGTCCATCACTTACGGTGACTTATAGTATGACTTATAATTTAACGACCTTATGCAAGTGGCATCAAGTGGCATGAGTTCACTAAAATTTAAGATGAGCAACAGTAATGACTAGTGATGTCGTTGACGTCAGGTCCGCTCTGCCTTGTTCGGGATGGCATTTTTGCACCATCGCTTCCGCGCAGCCCAACTGCCTACACCTCGTACAGACACCGTCGCAACGGCAGCCAAGCGGTTGGAAGATGCTTATAGCGCTGCCATTGCTGAGCATTGCAAAAGCATTGCCAATTGAGTCACAAATGAACCATGTGACAAGCAACCGTCGACGTTTGAAGAGATACAGTATATAATCACATGAATCATATACGTATACTGTATATAGATATATACTGTAAGCCTGACTGAGAGAAAAAGGCATGGCTGATGGACGTCAGAATTTCACAATGTAGCATGTGCGGAACGTGCAGCTGAGGAGCCGGAAGCTGGTCGGTTGAAATTTTGTTTGACACCTTCGCTCCCATTCACGAAGCTCCAGCAAGGGAGTAAGGCTTACCATATGCCACAAATTGACAGAACCACAGAAGCCGTGAAGCAACCATTTCCCAAGTGATTGTGAATCAACGTTTCGAAACCACTTCAGCAAATTTCAGCATCATCCTGCGAGATTCGCGGTTTGGCAAAGGTCACCGGAGGATATCCATAGATCCATGGGATATCCATAGCAGTCACATCCAGTCACATCCAGTCACGACACACAAAGGGTCGGTGATGGGCAATGGCGGATGACGTCAGCTCGCCTTCCAGGACGGATCTTTCAGGATGACATGGATGACCCAGTTGATGTTTTTTGGCATTGGAATCATTGGATGCCAAGGTGCATTTTGAAGTTTGCGGCATTTTTAATTAAATAAGGATCTCCACGGATGCAGATTCAGCCGATTGATTTGTTGACAAAACGGTCACAGAGGGATTCGCAAGGGGGTTCTGTGATGGAGCCTTGAGTCCTACGCAACGCGCGCTGCGTCGCCTGGAGACTGAACCTACAAAAGGGATCAAAAGGGTCCCTTGGCCAACATTTTCGGCCTTTTTGAAGACTTCTGATAGGTCCAGTGGCTATGGCATGCATATTGCCGCGGCCAGTGCCAAGCAGGCAAGACATGGCAAGACCGTGAGAACTGGAGCAGATGAAATCAGATGAAGCCCAAAAACAATTGGTACTCTCTGGTAATTTAACATAGCTATTGAAAATACCACATTTATAGTGGATTTACCCATTAAAAATGGTGATTACCAGAGGGTACCCTGTACCATCAGTGACTGATCTCCTGTGTCCAGGTGGTGCGTGGCAGACGCTGGCTACGTGCCTTGCAGGGCGCCGTGGACTCGACTACGCAGAGTGTTGGCAGCGTGGTGTGCACACTGTGCAGATCACTGTTATCACCCATTTTTGGGAGTTCCATGGGGTTTCTTGAAATGGGGGATCCGCAAAACCATGGCTTTCAATACTAAAATGTTCCAATTTCGGATGATGTGGTGTGCCACGCCATGTTTTAGGCACCTCCATATGCTAGTAGTTATATTTACTATTCTATACTCTTCTATACTCTTCTATATCCGTTTATGTGCCGTTGGCACTGTGTCATTGTTGTCCATTTGACCTCATGTAAGGCAACCTTGGGAGACATTCTCAAGATGTTGGATTGACTGAGGTAGCCAGGGGGCCAAAATCTTTGCCAAGGGCTCCGAGGTCTTTCGTTTGACCTGTTTTGAAGATTTTTGAAGTGTGTTCTGATCATTCTACATCTTTGAAGGTGAAGTGGCTGAGGCTGTTTTTGCTGGCGCAAAATCTCCGCTGTGAAACGGAAGTTGAGGCCCTGGCCATGGTCGACCAGCGCCTGGGTCTGTCGGAAGCCGCATCAGCCGCGGAGCAGCGCATGCAGATCTCCGAGACGATTTCCGAGAAGGCGAGGAAGGGATAGGTCGGATAGGAAAGGCAGCAGTATGCAACAGTCATAGAGTCTATGAATGTCATATCAATGTCATATTAATGTCATATTAATGTCTATTAGTTTTCGTCAACGCTACATTTGAATCATTTGAAACGGCCAAGCCGTTTGCCGTTTCCGAATTGCACCCTGAGGTCGCTGCGGCGGACCGACGCTTGCAGCTCTCTGCCAAGGCCCAGGCGAGAAATGGCCCCTGAAGCTGAAGCCCCTGAAGCCCCTGAAACCATCCCGACCCCCAGACCCCCAAAACCTCGCAGTAAAACTTCTCGCATCTTGCATGTTCCGTTAGGCCCTCTCGCAGGATTGGCAGGAACTCAGGGGCAAAGCTGAGCCTTGGTGTCTAAGGGAAGGGCAGAGGCACCGCAGTTTTCGACTGAGAAATCCTTGGCAATCTTTGCAGATTTCACACCAGTCATTCAATTCCGGTTAAACTAGAGTAGATCAGCAGATCAGTAGTCCGCCCTACTCACAAGCCGAGAGTTCTTTGAAGACATTTGGAATACTTTCACCTGATACCTGGGAGGTAGTTTTCTGATCCTGGAGGTTTGTAAATTGGTTTCTTGGGCTTTGTTCGCCGTTCTCAGGACACACAGCAGGGGAAACTGATGTCGCAATTGAACAAAGCAGTGGTCCGCGCGGCTACATCTTTGTCCTCGCTGAACTCGCGACAGCTGGCACAGGTCAGACACAGCTTGGACTGTGCTTGTGACAAATGTGTAAACGATGAAAAGTTGGGGCGCTGCAACTTTTCGAATCTCAATGCCTCACTGTAAATATTGCATCAACATCATCAACCATTGTAATTTTCGAATCTTTCACAGTGTGATGCGCTTTGGAGGCCTTGGATCCCAAGGCCCTGTGCTTCTACGATGCAGGCTGGCTCAGGGTCCTGACAGTTGTGAGACATTCTGCCGCCCAGGATGCCAAGGAAGGTTCAGCTAGCCATCCTGAACCATCCTGAACCATCCTGAACCAGTTACTCAGTTGAGATCATGTTGAGATCAAGGATAATGGTTCAGGAGCAGGACCAGGTGAGGTCAAAATGGGAGCTGAGTTGGTGTCTCAAGGCGAGTTTCCTGGATGCAGCGGGTTGGTGGCCTTAACCTTGGATGACGCGCCCTGTCGTGGAGAGACGTCCATGTTGTGCGAAATCAAGGTGGGAGATTTGAGAAGGTGGGAATAGGTGGGATGTGGGGGCAACAAGATGTGCTGCTTTTTGAAGGTTGGGACTGGATGCCAGAGATTGGCCAGCGGTTGCCTTGATCTCGTGACTTTGGTTATTGACATGTCTCCTCAGGTTTCTACGTATTGACATTTCTCAAAATTGATTGCAATTCAGCTGGCCCTGTGTCGTGAGGAGCTTTTGCAGAAATTTGATGCGAGAGCAACCTTCTTTTTGTGTCTGCTGGCTGAATGTGGAATATTCTCGCTGGCTGAAACCAAATTTGAATCACTGGTTTGATGACTCCGCAAGCATTGGCTGATAGAGAGACACGGAAGTGACCAGATGGATCAGATCGGTCTGAGATCGCGGCACAGCTACCCACACTTCAGCTGATTTCAGGTACAGACAGTGTTCCTGGCCACGAGGATGGTTTGGTGGATTTGATTCGAGCTGGCAGCGAGGAGCGGCCGGGAACGTCAAGAGAAACTGCTGGATTTTGTTGGAAGCGGCACGAGCCAAAACACATCAAACCATGCTACTCTCTCTCTCCCTTCTAATGTAATGTTTGAATGTATTTGATAAAGTACGACAGCCCTAAACAGCACTTGCCATGGCCAGACTCCAAGATACCCCAGCTACAATAGCTACACCATGCTACACAACAACCGTTGCCGCGACCGATCAGCTTGGCTCCGTTGAGGTGGCGAATCATGGCTGCTCGGACCAGCCGTACGGCGGCCTGACGGAGTCGGAGTTTGGCGCAGTCTTCCATCGGGCTGAGACACTTGGAGGGGAATTTTAATCGAAGATCTGCATATCAAATCATATAACTTGATAAATATTAAATAAATATGATTCGATATGATATATGTTTAATTATGTTTATAGAAGTCCGTGAGGTGTGTTAATAACTTTGCCAAAACATAAGGGGCCTAATGGTCAATTTCAAACCTTGTTTTATTTTTAATGGCCAAATTTATGCTCACCAATTTCTGTTCAGTGCATCCTGCACATATGTTTTGGCCCCAGCGCCGCTAAAACGCAAGAACGAACAACAAAAACATCTGATCTCTGCCTCTTAGGGGTTCTTGGGCCTTCCTTTCATTTTATAGGCGTCATAGGCACCCTTAACATCCCAAACATTTTATTTACTGCACTTGTGAGCAAGTTTGGACATCACCCGCTCTTATGTTGATAGATAGAAAGGGCGGCATTTTTTTCTCTTGGGAATGCTTCATTGCTGCTGCTTCGACATTTGATGCCTGTTTTTGGTGTGTTTTTTTCTTGGTTGATTTTTTTGATCGTGGTGGCCATCATTCATGGTCGTCATTTTTGGTGGTCATCATTTGGTGGTCATCATTTGGTGGTCATTCTCCAAACTACTGTCGCCCACCACCGGGTGTTTTGGATGATGACCATGGTCGTTCTTTGCCTAAGCGGGTAAACCCATGGTCATCAAAGTGTCGAAAACAGGTGTAAAATGATGACCATATGATGACCACGTAGTCATCATTTTAAAATGATGACCATGGTCGTTCTGGTGGTCATCTTATGGTCATCATATGACGACCATGGTCATCATTCCAAAATGATGACCACCAGTGGGGTTATGGTCATCATTTTGGTAGAATGCTCACCAGAACGCTCACCAGAACGCTCACCACATCCCTTTTGGTCAAGTTTGTTTGTTTTGTCTGTGCATTTTTTTTGGGAATTCTCAAATGCACCGGCCCAGCCATGACGACAAATACTTGGCCAATTAAGATTCCTCTCACTGTTAGTGGCAGTGAAGGACAAAAGACGAACTTGTGCATTGTTTGGCAATTTCCTCCTGGTTTGAGTTGGTGGCGTGTTTTTGCCTATCACCACCACGCCGCGCTGATATGGGAAATGTTTTGACATAAGACCTTGAGGATATGTCCATATTAACGCTCCCTGTGTATGTGCAAAACTTGCTGGTGGTCAGTGATAAGCCTGAACAGCTCATATGGGTAAATAAACATGGGTTTTGGTTCACTACCCCCCTGGCCCGCTCACCAAAAAAAACCAGCCGTAATTAACAGGACTCACGGACTTGTATAATTATGTTTATATATATATATAGATCGATGGATGGATAGATGGATGGATGGATGGATAGATGAATATACACACACACACGCGAGCATAGACATATATAAATTTATTACAATATATTATCTACACATATGTATATATAAATATGCATTAAACAGTTATCGCAATCTCCATAGCATCCATAGCAACATCTGTAGCATCATAGCAACATGCCTCACCTCCAACTGTGGGAATGGAGGCGCAAAGGATGGCCATATTCCACAAGCTGCACTGGAGAGTGACCATGGGTGCTTACCATGGCTCCGGTCAGGACACCATTTGAGTCTTAAAGGGATTCGTTTTGGTGATTTGGCTCCAGAATTGTCGCCATTGTGCAGCTTGGGAGCTGTCTCGATCGTGGATTCGTCGCCTCGCTTCATCGCCCGCCATGCGTGTGTTGCTCTTCTTGGCTTCTGCGCTCACCGCCTGTGCCTTCGTCCAGCCGGCGCCGCATACGCAGCCTCGATCCGCCGTGCACAGCGCTGCCGAGTTTCAGCGCGTTGAGGCCGAGACCGAGACCTCCAGTGGCTTTGCTTTGGCCTTGGGTGCCAGCGTGGGCTATGCCGCTGCCATGATGGGAGCAGCAGGTGCAGCCCGGGGCAGCAGCATGATGCGCCGGGCAGAGAACCAGCCGCCAGCAGCAGTGGCGAGGACTCCTGTGGCCTATCCGATTTTCACCTTCAGGCGGCTGACCGTGGTTGATGGTGGTTGACCAATGGCCTTCACTGACACGAGTCACGAATCGTTGGCATTTTGCAGTTTGTTTTTTCAGAGCATTAAAGCATATTAAAGCGCAATGCTACATGCCCATAGTCAATGCGGTAAACTCGAGGCAACAGTTTTTTTTTTGGGATGCTTTTTTGATATCTTATCAGAGAATGGTAAGTCATCGGGTCAATGGAGAACCCATCCAGTGCAGGTGGCTGGCAGTCCATGCCTTGGTGGTTCCGACCGTCTTCTTCCTGGGTGCCATCAGCTCCATGCAATTCATCCAGCGCTAAGCAGGTGCCACGGTGAGAAAGTTGGGCAGTTTGAGCCATTTTGGATTGCAATTCCATATATCTATCATGAATCATGCAGTATCATACATCATTAATCAGACATTCTAGATCAATGTATCAATCAATCAATCTATCGATCAATCTATCAATCAATCTGCCTATCTATCTTATCTACCTATCTACCTACCTAATCTATCTATCTATCTACCTATCTATCTGTCTGTCTGTTTATCTATCTGTCTATCTATCTATCTATCTATCCATCCATCTATCTATCTATCTATCTTATCTTATCCTAATCTTATCTTATCTTATCTTGTCTTCTCTTCTCTTCTCTTCTCTTCTCTTATCTTATCTTATCTTATCTTATCTACCTATCTACCTATCTATCTATCTATCTACCTATCTACCTATCTATCTATCTATCTATCTATCTATTACTATCTATCTATGTATCTATGTATCTATGTATCTATCTATCTATCTATCTATCTATCTATGAATCTATGAATCTATCTATCTATCTATCTACCTTTCTACCTATCTACCTATCTACCTATCTATCTATCTACCTATCTATCTACCTATCTATCTATCTACCTATCTACCTACCTATCTATCTACCTGATTATCTACCTACCTATCTACCTACCTATCTACCTGCCTATCTACCTGCCTATCTGCCTATCTATCTATCTATCTACCTATCTATATGTATACCATACACATATCGGTTTATTACCTATTTTTGTCTTGCATTACTGGTATGATGCAACCGAACAGATCTTTCCGCATAGCACAACACATTCTCCCTGGCCGATGCCATCATTGTTCAGGGGGTGTAGTTCGCAGTGTCCTGACAGGAAGCAAAGCCCAACGTCAACCTGCGAGCTGCTCAAGGCGCCAGAGTAACCTGCAGCGACTTGCCACGGCGAGAAAGTGGCAGTGGTCAGTCTGTAGTTTTTTTTGTGGGTCTGTGCCCATCTCAGTGAAAGTGCCTGTGGGCATTTTCCAAAGACACACCGTGAGCTTGAAAAAAAGATGCAGTTCAAGTTGCGGCTGAGTGGTGGCTTGAAGAGTTGCGTGGATGTCAAACATGCTGAGGGTTCGCATTTTGATTTGTTCGACAATGGATGTATGAAACTCGGGAGGTTCCTCCAGTAGCTTCTCCAGGTCAGGTCAATGGGATCCAGTCGAACGTTCCCCATAAATTGAAGCTTTCAAATACTCTCAAAGTTCCATTTTTGACTTTTTACACTTTTTTAATCCTTTTTACACCTTTCAGTTGTGAGGAACGTGTGTGAAGTGCTTCGAGCCAAAGCTCGCGGGGAAGTGCCAGAGCTGCCAGATCTTCCGGAGCCAGTGCAGGCAGCCCAGGCAGCCCCGGCACCGCTGGTGGCAGCGACCAACGAAGCTGCGGATGCTGCGGATGCTGCGGATGCTGCGGTGACGGCTGATCTGCCTGCTGCGGATGCTGCTGTACCGTGGCCTGCAGATATGCCTGCAGATATTTCTGCAGTGTGGCTGGCGGTTTCTTTGTTTTTTGGAAGTTGTTCTTGCGCCAAGTCAATTGAAGACATTTTCTGGGCAAAGTGTCCATGGCATTGCTACTGCAGAATTATGGAAGAATTAGCTTCTCGGCCTTTGCCACAATCGCGGGGCTAAAAGTTGAAATATGTTGCACAATTGAAATTATGTTCATTTTCCAGCGAGATATCTAGGATATTCTAGGATTGAATCATGTTGAATCGAGATAGTCAAGAATTTGTCAGAACCCGGTTCCAACCGGTTCCAACCGGTTCCAAGATGTCCCAAGATGTCCCAAGATGTCCCAAGATGTCCCAAGTAGAGCGGCAGAACGTCGATGGCCTCGTGTCCGGCTCCGACCTCAGGCATCGTCTGCGGCGTCTGCGTCGTCCGCGTCACTGGGTCCCGATCTGCCCGGAGCTGCTGAAGCCTCCGAAGGTCGCCATGGGGTGCTTGAAGCAGATGGTAAAATATGTAGAATCATGTAGAATCTAGAATTTTGATGAATTTTGATGAATTTTGATGAATTTGGGCATGGAAGGCGAAGAATGGAAATGATGACAACATGGGGTGGTTGCATTCGAACTGTGAAACCTTTGGAAGATAGCATGGCCAGATATCGCCAGTGGCGGAGTGCACGCTTTGAGCAGTTTATAGCAGTTTCACATTGGAGGATTGACGAGCCCTACATTTGTAGCACTTGTGAGGTCCAACAGCACGAAACTGGGCACTTGGTGCCTGGGCTTAATTTTGCCGATGTGCATCACTCCATGCTGCGCTGCATGTAATTTGTGGCGAACAGATCCAGCGAGGTCTTTCGGGCTTGGCTTCCGGCTTGGCAAGATTGCCCCAACGAAAAACTGTGGAGGCAGCGAGCCGTAGCTGCGAAATGCTGCGAAATGCAGTGTGATGCCCATGAAATGCGACTTCCACTGACGGATATTGATATAAATAAATAAATACATAAATAGATAGATAGATAGATAGATATATATATGTATATATATATATGTATATATATATATATGATCCAGTGATCCAGAATCAAATGTCACTATGTGCTGCTGGTATTCCATGATGAGATTAAGATGGCAACGAAGGCTGAAGTTCCTGCTGTGATACCTCAGAGCCCATATCGCTGGTGCGCATCTTATCGCTTTGATTCGGCCAACTGCCTCCAGATGATTTTGATTTCGCCAGAGGTTCCGTGCTCCTCACACTGACCTGAGCCCCAACATGCAGAAGGTCAAAATCAGAAAACAAAACAGCTTTAAATATCTTTAAATAAATTTAATCTAATATATATATATATAATTATATATATATATATTTAATTGTACACCTTGAGAATCGTTGTTGTCTATCTTGAATCTTGATCCATTCTTTGAATCCTGATTAATTTTTTCCATGGACTTTAGCCCGATGATGAGAACATTGAGCTGTCGCACTCTCACCTGCCAGTGTGGCAGGTGCTTTCGCAAAATGGTTTCACAAATGTGCTTTGCGATGCTTTGCTGAAGAGAGTGGCAGGTGTGTCATTGCATTGAAATGTGCAACACGTTTGTCCAGACTCCAGACTCTGAATTCAACACGAAAAAACATTGATTGCCCAAGGGCCAGGCATCAGGATTTTCCACCCTGTCGCGTCCTGTAGCATTGTAAGAGCAACTTGCCTGAGACTGTCCTGTTGTTATGGCATCGAAATGCTTTGAGAAATCTTTAAGGACAGCTTCGCGAACGACACGCAAATCCTGGACTCCTCCTTTATTGCTGAGACGCTTCTATCTTTGGTCGATCCTCGGGGTGGGTCCATCATCGCCCCTCGGCCATCATTTTTCTACATTCCATTCGATAGTTTGCCGAGGGGCCCCGCACATTGAATTTTCTACATTCTACATCATTCTACATGTTTCGACGCACTTTGCCGCGGCGTGGTTAATGTCAATCATCTGAGGTGATTCATACCCCTGAACCAGGCTGCGATGCCAACTGCACGCCATAGGAGAGTCGCTGCAGTCTGCCGTCTGTCGCAGGTTTCAGAGAGCACAACTTCGAAGCTCTTGAGATTCTCTTGCAAGGCTTGGGGGCGGGGCGTAAATGGATGCTAAGGCTGCCAAGGCATCAACTGGTTTCGGAATGTAGGACCGAATGCATTTGTCATTATTTGTCATTCGGATTCATTCCGCTGTTATTCTTTTACTTTTAAGTATCTTCACAATTCTCCAAATGATTTTCTGTGTCTTTTCCTTAGCGCACTCAAACCTGGACATGGACCCACTGGGTCCTTCGGCTCGAAGCCCGCGACAACGTGAGTTGTCGTTTTCGAAGGCCTCGCTGAGCGGCAGCTTCGCGCAGTAACGGTGACAGAGCTCACTGAAGCCGCGCTGAGGCCTGGAAGTTTCAGCAGTTTTCAGCGATTCGAATGGTTCAAATTCAGATGGGCAAGTCAAGAATAGTCAAGACAACGGACAAGTTCTGTCAATGGCCTCGCAACTTTCCACTCCAGAACTTTACGTTGTTTCACGTTTACCCTGGATGTTTGGGACTCTCGCGGTTTTTGTTTTAACTATTCGTTGCTATTCTGGCTTGCTTCTCTCCACTTTCGTTCTGCATGTTGCATTGCGAGGACGCCCGCAAGTCCGAAGGAGCTCCCCGTTTCAGGAGAGATTTCTTCTGATGTCCGTTCATTCAGGAAGTTCAGTTTGGCGGCAATATCAAAATGTCAGCACGACTTGAGCATACTTGATCTGCAGAGAGGCACTGCCCCTGTAATCCCAATCTTCTGATTGTGCAGTCACGAGTCTCAAATTTCACTCAATCTTTGACGGTGGACAGGAGTGAGTGATGCCGAGCATGCCGAGACTAGTGACTAGCACTGACGACAAAAAACGGATCAAACGGATCAAACAAAACTAGCAGGTGCTCGCTGGCAATGCGAGCTGGACCTGATCCTCATATCTTCGGATAGCCGACATGATTCAATTTTCTCATGGCACCAAAACTTGAACGTGTGAACATGTGATACATGTGTGACCTCGTCCCATATACCCCTTGGCTGTCTCTCTTCAAGGAATATAGACATGGGGATGAGCTCAAAATCTCAAAGGTCATTGCTGAAGCCATTACATAACACTCACCCAAGCGCAATCAAGCGCCCCTCCAATCGGCTCTTGGACAGACTCTTGAAATGCAAATCATCGTGCATCTTGAAGCCTGTCAGCTTCAACCATGTCTTCACAGAGCTAGAATTCAAACCAGTCTAGGCCATTGTTGGAATATGTTGGAATATAATTCTTGCTGAAAGCCGCGCTACACATGGAAGTGCCTGAAAGCGTCATGTGCCCAGTGTGGCAGAGTACGAACGAATCTCTTCAAATCACAGATTCTCACAGATTCTCCCTGTCCTGTCAGGTTGGCACCTTTCGGAAACAGTTTCACTTCGTCTATGAAGAGGTACCTCTGCATCCTGCATCCTGCATCCTACTTCTCTGCAGCTGTTTGCACATGTGATTTTTGTGGCTCAAAGTTTTCAGGCATTGGATACATATATTACACAAGATACATACATAATTACACAGACATATCATATCATATCATATCATACCATACCATACCATACCATATCATATCATATCATATCATATCACATATATATATATGTATATGTATATGTACACTACTATGTATATAATGTATATCAATGTATATCATGCACTACATCATGCTCTCTATCTATATGTATGTACCAAGTATCTATATATTTCTACATATGTATGCAAATTTCTTTTCTTGTCCTCTCTTTCTTCTGTGGGAAGCAGACATTTTCAGCAAGGTACCTGTGTCATTGTACCGGTGCGCAGAGTCGGGACTTCGAGTAGTTGCTGCACAGGCAGGAACTTCATGTTTTATCAACATGTTGAGGGTGAATAGGCATAATTTATCCACTATATTGATGATATTATTCATATACCCCGACACATGATATGTGACTATGTATGAATTGTCCCAAGATGACTGTAAGTCATCCATCTTTGTTTTCTTTTCAGGCAGGAGACTGGACACAGATTTTCACAGGAGCTTTTTGTCGTGGAGTCCAGTGGAGTTCATGGCAGGTGAAGTCGCCAACTGTTCATGGTTACTTTGCATTGCACACAGACCCTGGGCACAGAGTCGAATGTACCGGGTGTCCAAGTTGATTTGCATTGCATCTTGAGATCTCTTGAGGCTGAGCTAAAGCACTGGATATCACTGGATGTTGAGTCCATGTATCCAGATTGTCACATTGACAATGATGTACAATATATATTGCCATTGAATCATTGTCACATATTGTCATGCTGACAGTCCTGCTGACAGTCCTGCTGACAGTCCTGCTGACAGAGCTCAGGAATGCTTTGATGACTTCGGATGTCCGCACACCTTGGAGCATTTGATTTTCCTGGGAAGCGAGCAATATCCATTCAAAGGCCTTTTTTGTGGCGAGATCTATGGAGTTAAGATTGGTAAAGATGAGCAACGTGAGACTGGAGTGGTTTAGCTATCAGCTATCGTAACGTCGTAACGTGAAGTGTCGATAAGTATCGTTGTTCCTGCAGATGTTGCTCACAGTGGGTTCCATCATGTTCCATCGCTTTGGTGCAGCGTTTCATTCTCTTTCGTCTCTTTCTCACTAGGCGTGTTGGACGTCTTGGCCAATCGCTGTTTGGCACAGGGAACGAATGCCTGGACATCAACGGCTGCCTGGCGAGATACAGCAAGACATTCTCCCATATTGGAAGCTGATGCAATGTGAGAGAATCGTATGGAAGAATGTGTATATATATATATAAATATAAATAAATAAATATATATATTATATATATAATGAGGGCATGATGAAACATGATCGAACTATGTTTCTGCGCTCAGGATCACACGTGCTACACAGTGGACACTGCGGGTGCAGAAGGCTTCCTTCGCTTGCTGCCAGTGTATTTGGATCACGTGCTGTTCCCCACTCTGAAGGCCAGGAGGGGTATTTAGGGTATTTGCGCAACATACATCTGCAGCATCTGCAACATCTACAGTAATTATCTGCAATAGAAAAGCGCAAGGACCAACTGGACCAACTGGACCAACAGTTGAACTTTGGCAAACACCACAGTTTAACTCCTCGATGACTGGTGCCGCATGGTGCCGCCATGGAGGACAGTGGTTTTGTGACAGAGGTGCACCACATCACCGGAGAGGTCTGCAAGCTGTTGACTGTAGCAATTCCATTCAAGTCACCAAGACTCCTAATTTCAGCTCTGAACGGAAACCAATCGACATAGTTTTTTGATGTTTTTTGTCATGGTGTTGTTTCATGTTGTTTCATGGTTTTTCCTTTCTGGGTGTGGTCCCTGGGCAGGGAGTTGATGCTGGAGTGGTCTACTGTGAGATGCAAGCTTCGTGCGCGACACAGCCCTTACATTTTTTTTTTGGTTTGCACATGTTCCACATGTTGTTTCCCCTTTGCACGGTTCGAGATGCTCACGGAAATGGATGGAATATAAAAGGTGATGGAAGGGAGGTGGCATCAGTATCGACAAACTGTGCATAGATGATCATGCACAGATGGAAGTTGACCATGTTGACCTAAAAAAACCGTCGTGCAGGGAGAACGAAGGTGGAGACATGTGTGACCGGGCGATGCGTCACGCGGCATTTCCTGGCAAGTGTGGATACAAAAGTGAGACAGGTGGACGCCTCAAGGAGCGCGACGCGACATGCAGAGACTTCCGTGGTCATCTCGTGGTGGCTGTACAAAAAAATCTGGAATGGCATATGTGCACATATTGGATGATATTGGATGTATATACATGATAATATATTATGATATACCCGTATTCATATATCACGTATATATATAATATATATATACACCAACACAGTGAATCTATTCACAAAGAGAACTCCCTGTATTGGATGTTTGCTTAAATGGAGTCATCGAGCATTCAGAACAGCTCTACAGGAGCTACGCGAGTTGACCAATGCAACAGTGAGAGATTACCACAAGGCGTACTACAGGCTCCGGCGCGACCCAAAACCTCTTGAAGCCACCTGCAGTGAAGACTTGATGAACATGCATGAACGCGGGAGCTGTACTACAAAATGTATTATCCGTATATACCCAGAAGGTCTTAAGACGATACTTTGCCACCCCTTTGGGTTAAAGACGAAACTTTGCCACTACCCCCCTGACCACGGCCTGACCACGCTGACCACGCTCAATCTCAATCTTATCAAAAATCTAACTCAAACATGATAAATCATAATGATATGGCAAACCAAAGTACAACAATACTCAGAAGAATTTGAAAGATTGTTTTTTCCCTGGTAGGTGGTTCTGAATTCCACACCCTCCACAGGATGTTTCTTTTTATTCTCTCTCTCATGCGCGGTTGCGTGAAGAACGGTTCAGCCTTGGTAGGGGCGGCATGGCCACATAGCTAAACTGATCAGAGCCATCGTTTTAGATTTCATCCAAGGTACTTCTTGATCTTCCATTTCATGGAAAGCATCCTCTGCGTCTCAAACAAATAAATAATGTTGTTTGAGAATCATATCCTTTCAAAGTTGCAACACTTTGAAATACCAGTCAAAGTAGAAAAAAACTGACATAAATTACCATTTGTTTGGCAAACTTCGATCTATCTAGTGTCAATGCATGCGTGATGCACACATGTGTAATTCAACAAATGTCGTGACCCACATATCAGTCCTCAGTCTCGACAGCCGTAAGCACCAAGTACGTTGTCTGGCAGGATTTTGATGTCCATTCAAAGTGATACCTCAACAATCATTGATTGATAGCTCAAACACACTATAACCAAAAAAATGAAAAGGTAAAACAAAACAAAAAAAAACAAACCATGCAGTTGACACAGTGCTACCAACTCAGATGTCAGTGTGTGTGTGTATGTGTGTCCCAAATTGATCTAAGAAACGCTTCAACCACATCATGGCATCCTCGTCATGGAAACAGTGGGTATACCTTGGGTTTTCACCTTAGTTTGCAGATGATGCATCACGTACCACCGTACAACACAAGCAACAACAACAACAAAAAACAAAAAAACATCACATCACGAAATGCTATATACCAAAATGATTTTTGATGCAAACTGCAGTGTTAAATTCTTGGTTTGATCTGCTACTTTGACAATTTTGGTCAGCGTGGTCAGGGCAAAGTTTTCTCTTTTCCCCAAGTTAAATGGTAAAGCATTAACCAAGTAAAAAAACAACATGCATCATGAATGCAATGAATCGCTACTTCGAGAGTACTCCAAATTATTGTTGACATCAAACACTACATGATAAATTCAACACAAGGTTCGGTGTTCCCTGGCAGTTTTCAGGATATGACCCAGGGCCTCAAGAGACAGCATGGTGGCTCAAGTTGACGCAACAAAAAAACAAACAAACATGATGTACTACAACCCTGGTAGATTGCATCACATTGATGGTGGTTAATGAATGATACATACAACACATTTAATATTTTATGTGCATGGATGTGCACCAGTAAAAAATATGAATCAACATTTCAGTTCTCTGGATTAACGGTAATGATTTCTATGGTTTGCAGCCGTGGCACATGCAGCTTCGGACGCAAGATGAAATGTGCCTTCCCCATCCTGAGCATGAAACAAAAATATGCAACATATAATTGCAGTACTGCATTGCTATAACTGCTGCAAATTATATCCCTTAACAAATGCTTCCAAATTTCTGCACAGAAAAATCAATCAAACATATATAATTGTTGCAGAGTTTCGCAAAGGACATCCGGGCAAGTTTGAGATGAGCATCTATGTAAGTCATGCCAGCCTCGTCAAGAGCTGTCGCCTGTTGTGGGGACCTAGGCAGTAGAGCAGGGAAATGAAAAGATGAGGCACTCCTGAAAGTGTTCTATGCTACAAATGCTGTAAGCATGTTTGGAAGACTACACACTAATCACATGCTAGCTCACGCAAATCAAATAATGCAATGCCAGGGACAAAAAACGAGGACATCGCTCCATAATTCCGAAATATCGTGTGATACCATTCCTTTGTTGGAAAATCATGGCAAACAAACATCGTACATAAAATAGCAAGCCAGAAATTAGGCCAGAACAACACACGAAAATTGTTTGGTGAACAAAATTTAAGTTCTAAAATTTGAACGGGCAAAGGCTCATGAGTAGGTGAGCCAATGGCGCCCTTGGGTCAGATGATTGCCTCCAATGCCGTTCTGTGACATTGTGGAGCCACTCAGCAATGCATCGATTGTTGTAGGCTTTGCCAGTCATATACAGTTGGCCACCCTTTTTCACCACCTCGTCAGCACAGACATTAACTATGCATGAATTATCATATATGGTGCATCATTTCAATTTTACTGGATCTGGTTTGCTGTTGTGGTTGTAGGGAAAACACATGGCTTTAATTCCAAGTAGCAAGTTTCGGGGTGAACATCTTCTGTGAGCAGTTGATTTTCCGGGAGCGTAGAAAGGCTCTGAAATCATCATATGCATTCTCCAGTTGCGCTTTGAAGGTTGCACCTTCAAAGAATTTGTCGTCGCACAGCATGACCCTTGGCGCGAGATATGCTGGGTATGCACAATAATAAGTCAATCATAAATTATATTATCGAATTTATAATATATTATGCAAACTAACTATATTTCAATCAAAATTGTTCGAATTCGATCTATAGATCTACATAATCAACTATAAATTGTTTAGAATTGATATATCTCAAAATCATTTTGTTGATACATGTCTCAAAACAGTTCAAAGACAAGAGGCATAAGGCTGGCATTCGATCCATATAGCAAACCCAGATTTACCACATGCATACTGCACCACTTGAGGACTTCCGGGTGAAATCCTCTGAGAGCAATGAGCGGACCTAAGATCACACCCAAAGAATTGATCATTCATTTTACATCTTTGGGGAATACTGGGAATCAATTGTTTGCTATGTTGTTCAAGTGTTAGGCACTAACCCAGTCTTCCCAGAAGGATTAGTTTTAAAAACAAAAAACAAAAGTATGAATTATAACTCAGTAACTTGGTTGTTGTGGCATTTGATCCACCAAGAACCCGGCCAGATCATATTCAGTTGTCCATACAGCTGAATCCCTTTGCACTTTGTAGTACAAGTACGGCTCAATTGCACGAGCTTGGCATCTGAAACACACAGGATACTTTGTACCTCCTTTCCATGACGATTTGAAAGAAAAACAATCTTTGAACCACACCCAGTCTCCACGTAGTTCCGAAAGGGCAAAGGTTTTGCCAGGAACGATTTCCTGACCTGCACAGTGCAACTCAGGACCCTGAAGCAAGTCTCCATTGATGTCTGTCTCTGGATACTTGCCATCAAGAAGAAGGTTGACCCGCCACACAATGTAGCGCCAGATCGTATCCATGGTGATCCTTTTGTACATAAGTTCTTCTTGGACTGCACATAGTAAATACCGAGAACATCTGATGCTCTTGGGTCGGAACAATGGTAGATTCATGAAGAATCCAATCATTTTCTCACCTTGTCGTATTTTACAAGCATCTCCATACAGACCAATCGGAATGCTGTTTGATTTGGCTGGATGACTGATGGCCCAAGCAGCTTGGACTTCTTCACGATAGTGAGCCCAATATTGTGTTACAGTCTCTTCACTGATGGTCAAGCCAATTTCGTTGAACAAATATCGCACAATTGATACAGGATCCAGAATTTCGATATCATGTATCTCATATCCCTTTCGATTTTTCTGGCACTTCAGAGGCGCTTTGACCTTTGCACTTGCCTAAGTTAACAAAACCATCAACACAATCATCAATCAACAAATTACTGGACTATTTTTGATTTCATATAATAAGTCCTGAATTGCAATATGTGTTTGCATGCATTCACATGTGATGGGAACCAACCATACCTCCATCTGTTAATGTCGCCAAAGACATCCCAACAAAAAATATAAAATAGTTTGTTCATGATTGTTCCCAGCGAGAAACCACTGGGATTCTGCAAAATCTCCAAAAGTCACGGGTGGTGTTGCGACCAGAGTAATTACCCATGCGACGGCTCCATGGATGAGCTGCTGAAGTACCCGATTCCTCGGGAGATAGGCTTCAAGTTTCCAAGTTGAACATAATATGTTTTTTTTCAGAAACAAGCTACTCAAATGAGTAAAATTATATAATATGTTGTACACTATATATCCATGGTTTTGTTGTAAGAAATATACCTATACCTGCCATCAGTCAACTAGCTAATGGGAGACAAGGAACTGCCACGTGATTCCGGACATTCCTCACGGCCCTCGTGATACTGGAAACCTAAGCTATCACAAAAAGCCACCACATATAAGATTTTAACACCTCAAAATCTGTTGGGTTAATTTGTCGATCGGCTAGTGCTCATCATATTTTTGCAGTACCGAATCCAATAATCATATGATCTCTCCGTAAAAATGCACCGGCTTGTCAGCCAAGGAACAGCCGACGACACATCTTCAATTGCACCTTGGGCAACCCATGCTTGACCATCACCTGCGGAGGGGACATCAGATTGATATATTTTATCGATCCAATATCAAATATAATTATCATTATTATTACTGCACTGAATCACCAACTAACCAACTCTAATATCTTATATTGCCTGATTGATGTGATATGATGCTAAATTGCCATCATGGGGAAACAATACCATACGGTATCATATATATATAATGCATGCTACCCGGTTTCAATCAATCACTAGGACACCACAAGCTCAAACAAGTCACATTTTTTTTCTTTTGCACGCATGTGTGAAGTCACACACACATGATCTCAGCAAAGCTTGCGGCAGCTATCCCAATGCTTTGTCAATTGATCAGACATAAGCCGGCCTCCAACCCATTTGCACCCCATTTATGATATCAAATTCCAATGAACGAATGCAATCTTTGTTGATGATAAATGCAAGGTGTTTTGAATAAGAAATACAACCAACAATAGAGTCTGAATGATGTTCTTTAATTTTCGGGGTGG